TTTCCAGTGGTCATGTATGGATGTGAGAGTTGGACTATGAAGAAAGCTGAGCACCGAAAAATTGATGTTTTTGAACTGTGGTGTTAGAGAAGACTATGAAAGTCCCTTGGACTGCAAGGAGATCCAGCCAGTCCATCCTAAAGGAGATCAGTCCTGGGTGTTCATTGGAAGGACTGATGCTGAAGCTGAAACTCTAATACTTTGGCCACCTCATTCGAAGAGTTGACTTATTAGAAAAGACCCTGATGCTGGGATGGATTGGGGGAAGGAGGAGAAAGGGACAACAGAGGATGAGATGGCTGGATGGCATCACTGACTCGATGGACATGAGTTTGAGTAATCTCTGCGAGTTGGTAATGGAAAGGGAGGCCTGGCATGCTGCGATCCATGGGGTCACAGAGTCAGACATGACTGAGCGACTGAACTGAACTGAAAAGAGTATGCTTTCAAGAGATAAACGTTTATGGAAATATTCCAGATACCAGTGTCACACAGTGAGGATTTGAATTTTAGACAGAAATTAACTTCCTGCACTTAGGTTCAGTGGAAACAAACTCATCTGGGATCCAAATTGACATTCCATGTCAAGTCTTAACTATGCAATAAGGCATTTGAAGACAACTGCAGAATTCCATGACAACCATCTCCCCTGCAATATCCCAGCCAGCCTAAATGCAGCAGTAGCATACACATTCAGACCTCACATGCCACACAATACTGCTTAGGCTGGTAGAACAAAGATGGCAGCTGCTCCTGCCCAAATCCATGAAAGACCTTGCTATTGAAACACAGCCCTCTTGAACCTTCCTGCGTTGTTGGTGGGAATATAAACTGGTGCAGCCACAGTGGAAAGCAGTATGGAGGTTTCTCAGAAACTAAAAATAGAACTACCATGTGACCTACAAATTCAACTCCTGGGTGTATATCTGAAAAACAAACAAGCAAAACTAATTCCAAAAGATACATACATCCCAATGTTCAGAACAGCATTACTAGTGATTGCTAAGATACGGAAGAAATCTAAGTCTCTATCAACAGATAAATGGATAAAGAGGAGTAGCATATACACATATGATGGAATACTATGCAGTCATTAAAAAGGAATGAAATTCTGCTATTTGCCACATCATCTACAGACTTAGGGGGCACTATGCTAAGTGAATAATTCAGAAAAAGACAAATGCTATATGATATCACTTATAGGGGAATCAAAGAATACAACAAACCAGTGAATATAACAACAAAGAAGCAGATTTACAGATAGAACAAACTAGTGCTTAACAGTGGGGAGAGGGAAGTGGATAGGAGCAACACAGGTATACAGGATTAAGAGGTAAAAACTATTAGTATAAAATAAGTTACAAGGGAATATAGCCAATATTTTATAATAACCATAAATGGAATATAACCTCTAAAAATTGTAGGTCACCATATTGTACATCTATAATCTATATAATATTGTACATCAACTATACTTCAATTAAAAAAAGATAAAAACATCATCTTCTTTCCTGTTGAGCTCAAATATAATCTCAGAATCCTTCTACCCACACATGGGAGTTAGCACTTGTAGTAGAACTTTCTGCCCTCCTTGTGCTAAGATTCTCTAAAGCTCTAAAACATGCTCCCTCCCAAGTAACTTCTGCATGTTCATAATGACTTTCTGTCATTCATATTCTTACCTCATTTGAATCCACAAGAATGATGCCAGTGCTGGAGAATTTAAGATCAATAATGGAAGTTCCCTGGTGCCTCAGTGGTAAAGAATCTGCCTGCCAATGCAGAAAATGCAGAGTTCGATTCCTGGGTCAGGAAGATCCCCTGGAGAAAGGAATGGCAACCCACTCCAGTATTCTTGTCTGGGAAATCCCAAGGACAGAGGAGCCTGGCAGGATAAAGTCCATGGGGTCACAAAGAGTTGGACACGACTGATGCAACTAAACAACCATGCAAGACAAAATAAGCACTTCTATGAAATACCAATAAAGGTATTTAGGAGAGATCATTTGAAATCGTGAATGAACTCCAGCTCCTATATAGTCATATATACATCAGCAATTCTCACATATTACCATTGTGTAAAGACAGTTTGGTTCATTACAACTGGGAGTGCTCCTGGCATCTGGTGAGTTGAGGCCAGGGACACTGCTAAACATTCTGAAATACACAGGAGAAGCCTCAAGAACTCAGAATTATCCAATTTAAAATGCCAAGAGTGTCAAGGCTAAAAAATCTTGGTAAACAGTAAGGTTGATTAATGGCAGAAAGAACTTTAGAGAAGTTCTCATCCAACTGTGATAGGATGGACCTAAGACTCAAACAAAATGTATGTGGACAGCTCAGAAGAAATAGCAAATAGCCCTACACATCCTTCTAATGGAGAAAAAAAAAAAAAACCTGTTTTATACGCAGAAGATGGCAGTCTATCACTTCCCTGACAGCCTATCCTTATGGTTAAACAGACATTAGAACTAAGATCATTGGTTCTATGCATTGGTTGTTGGATTCAGTAGAAAGAGGGTAGTAGAGGATGGATGGTATTGCCATTTTTATACATGGAAATATCAGAAATCATTCATTCATTTCAACATTTGCTACACAAATACTTGGGGCCTCCCGGTGGCTCAGTGGTAAAGAATTCACCAGCCAATGGAGGAGATGCAGGAGACATGGGTTGTGAAGATCCACATGTCAGGAAGATCCCCTGGAGGAGAGCATGGCAACCCACTCCAGTATTCTTGTCTAGAGAATCCCATGGACAGAGGATCCTGGTGGGCTACAGTCCATGAGGTGGCAAAGAGTCCCACACGACTGAGCAACCGAGCACGCATGCGCACACATACACACATACACACAAATATTTATTTAAGCCTTTATATTGTACTATTGTGCTGATGCAAGTAAAACAACATTCAGCGAAGATGACCCTTGCCATAAAAAGCTTGCAATCAGCTGCGAGAGGTGGGCAAACAGCAAATTCAATGCAGTGCAATCAATGCTGAATTGAGAGAGCCTATATGTGCACAGAGGAGGGACATCTATCTAGCCTGGTCTCGGTAGTTAGGGAAAATGTTTTCAGAGGGAATGAGCTGAGCTCTGGAGAGAGAGTAGACATTAGAAACTCTTAAAACTGAGCCCCTAGGACAACCCACTCCATTTGCTAAGCTCAACTAGTGTGCTGAAACCCAGTTAATCTCCAAATCTGAATCAGTTAGTATTTGCACTGAAAACGGTGGCAGGTTTTATTTTCTTGGGCTCCAAAATCAACTGCAGACTGTGACTGCAGCCATGAAATCAAGAGATACTTGCTCCTTGGAAGAAAAGCTATGACAAATCTAGACAGCGTATTAAAAAGTAGAGACATTACTTTGCTGACAAAGGTCTGTCTAGTCAAAGCTATGATTTTTCCAGTAATCATGTACAGATGTGAGAGCTGGACCATAAAGAAGGCTGAGTGCTGAAAAACTGAGGCTTTCAAATTGTGCTGGAGAAGACTCTTGAGAGACCCTTGGACTGTAAGAAGATTGAACCAGTCCCTCCTCAAGGAAATCAGTCTTGAATTTCATTGGAAGGACTGTGGCTGAAGTTGAAGCTGCAGTACTTTGGCCACCTGATGTGAAGAGCCAATTCACTGGAAAAGACCCTGATGCTGGGAGAGATTGAGGGCAGGAGGAGAAGGGGGCGACAGAGGATGAGATGGTTGGATGACATCACCGACTCGATGGACATGAGTCTGAGCAGATTGCAGGAGGTGGTGAAGGACAGAGGAGCCTGGTGTGCTGCAGTTCCTGGGGTCGCAAAGAGCTGGACACAACAGAGTGACTGAACAACAACATAATAACAAAAACAATCTAAAAACAAGTCAAAGAAACATATTCCAATGTGGAGATAGAATTGGCTTCTCTGCAATATCCCCATAGCCTGCAGGTAACACTTTCTCATCCCCTCCCGCCTGGAGGGCTTTCTAACTGCTCACTCTTCACTCCCTTCCCTGCTTTAACCACCTCCACTCTCCCTTCAGGTCAGGCACCTGTGGATAGACCTGAACATTGTATCAGGTTCCAATAAACCAAATGAATCCAAGATTCAACTACTTTTTCAGTCTACAAAGGGAAGCATTATGTGATATGACTCTTTCTCTGCACTTGGAGCTAAGACAGATGTGTGGTGGGGGGGGGTGATTTTTATTTATTTATTTATAGGTTTTATTAAAGCTCACCTATTACCCACAGGCCTCGGGCTCCCTACAGAGAAACAACTATCACAATTGAAGCAGCTGGTTTCCAAGGTGCCAAATTAAAATAGATGAAGAGGTAAGGGGGAGGCGGGAATAAAAACATTAAGCTGAGACTTCTTCCCTCCCAAGTGCACGGTGCCTTCTACTATATTGCTCACATGAAATTGACTCCCAGTGTAATTAGACCAGGGCTACAAGGCAAAAAAAAAAGAAAGAAAAATCTCAAATTATTCAGACCCCCAGAGCTATGCTTTTGCAATCACTCAAGTAACCGAGAAAGGAGCCAACTTTTTAATATAAATTTGTTATCAGTATCTATACTGGCCAAGCTATTACAACACCCCATCTGCCTAAGAATACAGTCACAAGCTGAGTCGTGAATCAAAGGGAAGAGTCAGGCTTCCCACTTGCTCTCATAAACTTTTCATACGTGGAACAATCCGACTGGAAACTGCAGTTTATTCCAACAGTTCTCAAGGGCTGCTGGTCCCATTTGAAGGAGCTGGAGAGTTCCTCCGGTCTGCGGTAGACACCATGCTCCCGTTAGAATGGCTTGTGTCGGCCGTATTATACGGGAACATCCACATCCATCTCTCTTTGCAGCCCTGAGCTTGGAACTGCCATAGTGCCCTCCCTCTCACCCCAAAGAGGCAGGAATGGCTTAATTGCCTTCCAGGTTGAAAATGAGCCACGGAGACAGAAGAGCATCTTTCACGGGACTCAAAGGGGAAAGAAAGCACCATCTTCCAAAAGAGGCACTTACTGGATTTCAGCAGTGCTGCCAGGACTTCAGCGGCTGCCCTGGGGAAAGAGAAAGAAGACTGGTCAGGTCACTGTTCCGTGGTCTTGTTGTCAGCCCAGGGGTCCCACAGCCGGCCCGCTCACGGCTGCCACCTGACTGCCCCGTTAGCAGCCAGGCAGCAGGCGTTCCCTGGATTCTACCGCTGGCCGTTCAAGGGCCAGGAATGCGGAAATCCTGCTAGTGAAGCGTCTCTCTTGCAAATGGGTCTCAAGAGTCCCTTCTGCTGCTGGGAGTCTCTTCCCCTCCCCGCTTCCACCAACTTCCTCACACTTCGCTCCTTCCAGCCAGAGCTCTCATGGGCCCTTGATTTGTACCTGCAAACCCTTGGGACTCTGTGGAACGAGCTGGGAGGGGGTGAGCCTTGGAGGCGGGGTGAGTACCGCAGTTCACTGCAAACTTCTTGAAATGCTCAGGGCCCAGGGGACACACTGGAAAACATTCACACATTGGAGAATGAAGCTGGTTCCTTAGGGTAGAAAATGACGATATTGCATTTTTCTTCCAAATTCATTGTTTTCTTCCATAAAGGAATCTGACGGCCTTTGTAACAGCAAGAGGAGGCACAGAGAATGAAAATGCCTTTGGCCCAAGGCTTAGCAACTTCCGTCTGCTTCCTGTGCCTGGGAAGATCACACGAAGACCCACTCATATGGCAGAGGGAAGCTTCATAGCACTGGGGACTCTGCTGTGATTCAGGGAGGGAGAGTGGGCTTGCTTTAAAAAAAAGAAGACAAAGTATTCTGCACGGCCCTACTAACTTATCCTTAAAGCCTATTCAACAGTAATGCTTTCAAATTGTGGGACTGGAGAAGACACTGGAGAGTCCCTTGGACAGCAAGGAGATCAAACCAGTCAATCCTAAAGGAAATTAAGCCTGAACAACCATTAGAAGGACCAATGCTGAAGCTAAAGCTCTAATTTTTTGGCCACTTAATGCAAAAGCCATCTCATTGAAAAAGACCCTGATGCTGGGTAAGATTGAGGGCAGGAGAAGGGCAAGACAGAGGGTGAGATGGTTGGATGGCATCACTGACTCAGTGGACATGAGTTTGAGCAAACCCCAGGAGACAGTGAAGGACAGGAGAGCCTAGGGTGCTACAGTCCACGGGGTCACGAAGAATCGGACGTGAGTTAGCAACTGAACAACAAAAAAAACCCAGTGATATGTTCCCAGCACCCTTCTGAGAACTGGGAGGACAGGCCAAAGAAAATATATCACTATTCCAAGATTTCATAGACGTGGAAGATGAACTGAGACCCCAAACCCAGAAACGTTTCTTCCCATCTTTGCTTCCTACACATCCATTGGTCTTCAGAGCCCATCTTGCACTTGCTTTGTCCTGGTCTGCGCATAGTTGATAAGGAGCAATTCTCTTTGCAATATATTATATACTATTTCCCTGGTGGCTCAGATGGTAAAGAATCTACCTGCAATGCAGGAGACCCAGAATGGATCCCTGGGTCAGGAAGATCCCCTGAAGAAGGGAATGGCTACCCACTTCAGTATTCTTGCCTGGAGAGTTTCATGGACAGAAGCTACAGTCTGTGGGGTCACAAAAAGTCACACATGCCTGAGCAACTAACACTTTTACATTGAGTAATAGAGCTGATGGTGAAAAATAATAATAACATAGGAATGAATGAAATAAAATAAAAACTAAATAAAATAAATAAACTAAATATTTTAAACTAAATAAAAATAAACTAAACTAAAATAGAAATTAGGCACTTGAAACATGATTGCTCTCCATAACTTATGAGAGAATCCTGCAAAGCAGTGGCCTGATGCTCAAAGGCACAAATCCATGGTTGGGATGACCCCAGCTCAGTGAGACCCACCCAGCTTCAGGGTAGTTGTAAAGAAAGCAAGGCTAGTTTTCACCGATGGACTACACCATTTCTCCTTCCTAACCACAGTTTCCTCACATCAACTTTCAGCTTCCTCAGCCTCCCTCTTTTCAACTCTACATAGTGGTGTTGCAGAAAGGGGAACACCTTCTTGTCTAACATTTGGAAATGAATTGTCCAAGGAGACACATGTACTGACAAAACAAAAGGCATTATTGGGAAGGGGCGCCCAGGGGGAGAGCAGGGGACCCAGGGAACTGCTCTGCCATGAGGCTCACTGTCTCGGGTTTTATGGTAATGCGATTAGTGTCTAGGTTGTCTCTGGCCAATCATCTCACTTGACTCATACAAGGTCTGACTCAGGGTTCTTCCTGGTGGTGTGTGCATCTCCCAGCCAAGATGTATTCCATCGAGAAGGATCCTGGGAGGTTGGTAGGGCATATGGACTGGCAACTCCCCCCTCCTTCCAGCCCCTTCCAAATTCTCCTGGTTACTTTTTGGTGTGTTCATTATCAGGACCTCTTATTTCAAGATAACTGATGTAAGTGCCTGGCCAAGGCAGGCAATTTCAGCTGATGGTTCCCTAACCTTAGTGACTCTAAAAGGAGGCACTTTGAAGGCGTTGCTGAGAGCCCATGCCACAGTACAGAAGGCCTGGCTTGGGCTGAGACAAAATGAAAATCAGTATTTTGGGTCAAAAGAAGAGTAGCCATATTGAGTTCATCGAAGGGAATTAGCAGAGAAGAAGGAAACTGTAGAAATAGGAAAAGAAAGAATGGGGTTTCCCAAGCGCAAGAGCTAGCCTAATCTTAGATCACAGACCAGGTCTTGGGGCAACCCTGCATTTCTGATTTGCATGGCACATTTGTGTGGGGGATTCACTATCAAGTACTGCTCTGTTGAAAACTGAAAGTGTTAATTGCTTAGTCATGTTCAACTCTTTGCAACCCCCACAGACTGTAGCCCGCCAGGCTCCTCAGTCCATGGGATTCTCCAGGCAAGAATACTGGAGTGGTTGCCATTTCCTTCTCCAGGGGGTCTTCCTGACCCAGGGATTGAACCTGGGTCTCCTGCATTGCAGGCAGATTCTCTACCATCTAAGCCACCAGGGAAGCCAATGGTATGATAACACAATAAATAAACATGAATCCAAACACTGACATGATACAGCAGAAAACACATGGTAAGTGTTGTATTAGTCAAAGATGGGAGATTGATTCCTGAAGAATCAGAAAATATTTCTTTCCTTACAAATATTTTGTCCCTTCTAATTAGGGGATCAATCCATAACACAGCAAAGGGCACATTTAGACAAACAATGCACATCATGTTTGAGACCAAAATCCAGTGTAAGTTTAGATACAATTTCATAGATAATAAGAAGCCATTCCATTTCTTCTATCAAGAGGGTATGGTGTCAAGGGTGGAAAAGTGAGAGGAAGAATTTGAACAAATCAAAACAGGAGGAAAGGGGGCAGAGCACAACTTTTAAAGGAATGCCACAGCCATAAGACATGACAAAGACTGGTTAGAACCAACTAGACCCAAGGTGGTAGGGGATCCGACGTCCAATAGACTTTGAGCCGCATTACGTGCTCAGTGTAATATATTAGCGTAAGCTAAGTGACACACCCACCAGTGCCATGACAGCTCTGAGACCAACCATAAAAGGCCCAAAAGGGGGTGGTTTGGTCCATTTTTCTGGAAATCTCACCCCCCCCCCCGAAATAACAACAATCCTCCCTGGCCTGTGAAACTTACTGTTCAGTCGCTAAGTCGTGTCTGACTTATACAACCCCATGAACTGAAGCCCACCAGGCTCCTCTGTCCATGGGATTTCCCAGGCAAGATCACTGGGATGGGTTGCCATGCCCTCCTCCAGAGGATCTTCCCAATCCAGGAAAGCCCAGCCTATGAAACTACGCAGCTCATAAAAACTAACTACAGCATATTTCAAGGCCTCTCTCTCTCACCTTCTGTGAGACTCCACACTCTATCTGTAGAGTATGTTTCTCTCTAAATAAACCCACTTTTACCCATCACTTTGTCTCTGAACTTCTTATAAATTAAGAAACTCAAATTCACCGGGAACAGAATCAATAAGATTTAATGATAAACAGGTCAGTGATAAAGCACAAAGGAAAGGGAAGAGTCAATGACAGCCTGGAATTTTTAGCCAAGGTAATTGGGAGAACAATCAACCTAGGAAGGAGGGACATTCAGGTGTTTAGAGAAGATGATGAGTTTGATTTGGGACTTGCTGAGCTCGAGATGACGGGGACAGAGCTACAGAGAACTATTCAAAACGTGACTGGAAACACAGACTGAGGATTCTGGAGGACATCCAGAGTTGGAGTGTATATTTATGAATCACTACAGTAGCAACACCAGTTGTAGCCACAGAAACAGGGGATATCTGTGAAGGAATTCTGTCAAGAGCTGAGTAGAGAATTGGTCCAGGGAAGCATCTGGACTAGACGAAAGGAAACCCCTAAGAAACTCAGATAACACACAGACAAGGAGAAGGAAATAGAGGGGGCTCAGTTTAAAACTGGAAGTCACTAGGTTTTCCAGGCACAGTGTTTTTCAAACTGTAGGTTGTGACCCAATTGTTTGTTGTTTTTGCTAAATCGTGTCTGACTCTTTGGCATTCCATGGACTGTAGCCCATCAGGCTTCTCTGTCAATAGACTTCTCCAGGCAAGAACACTGGAGTGGATAGCCATTCCTTTCTCCAAGGGATCTTCCTGACCCAGGGATCGAACCTGGGTTTCTGCGGCATTGCAGGCAGATTCTTTACCATTTGAGCCACCAGGGGAGCTGTAGGTTGTGACCCAATAGGAGCTGTAAAATCAGTTCAGCAGTTAACTAACTAGCTTCATTAATGAAAATGAATAAATTGGAATGGAATAAAATATATCCGAGATATCTCATTCAGCAAAGCTTAGCAGTGATCTGGGAAACCTTATTTCAAGGCCCATACACACATTGTGTGCCTACTGGGAAGATAATATAAATAGTTTCCTCTAAAAAAAATTAAGCTTGTAAAGATGCAGGTTAAGGTATAGGATCCATATGAGATCTAAACAAGAGCAAATGACTGGAATCAGCTAATGAACTTATGAGCAAACAGAAAGCGTTTGATCCCCCAC